AGGGGGGGGGGAGGGTATGTGTAAAGGCGTCTCGAAAGTGGCAGACGGACAAACACGTGCTAAACGATCAAACAGACAGGGGAAGAGACCGAATATGGAAACACGTTTTTAATATATCCCACAGAAGGTTTTAACAAAACGTAACATATATATTACATTATATCCTTTGTTTGCTTTATTAACATTAAATCATTTTCAATCATAAGGTTGGCTTAACAATCATACGAGGATACAGTAGAATATAATATGTACAGACTTGTCTAAATAGGATACAGTAGAGTATAATATGTACAGACTTGGCAAAAAGACACGTAAACTGAATAGATAACAAGCGTTGAAAAAAGTAAATGCTTTTCAATACTTTTTTGAAGACTAAAAAGTGTAAGAAATGACCATTTGTGTGATTATTGAAAGAATAGTAAAACTTGGTTTTAATATAATTTCTTTTATTTGTTTACAGCTACCAATTTTGCTACCATTATGTCAGTCATAGAAGTACTCGTACATTTTACCTATATTGAAAGACAGAAAACACGGCTGTACATGTATTATCATTACAAAGTTACGGACTTTGGCAATAACGTAAAAAGCACCCTCGCATCTCCCTTGAATCCAAACTTATAGACAATATCTTTCCTTCAGAGCAAATCAAGTAAGTCACGATATGAAGAGAGAGAAGTACAATGTAGTATCATACTTCGCCAATCTACGTCGTCCATGTCTACCGCCCGGCAAAGCTGTGTAATGCATACTGCTCTAGTCGCCATCGATATCGAAGAAACAGAATACGGGTTGTAAATTAGTGCAAAACCTCAGCTGTTTTCTTATAACCTCAGAATTGAGAGAAAACCTGATAAATTGGAGATTATTTAATAGAAATGGTCCGCTTAATGATCTGCGAGGATGTCAAGAGGAAAGTGTTCCCAATACTTATCATATTAACAGTATTTTCAATACTATAATATTATTATTTCGAAGCATGGCTAAAATGTATGCTAGTATTTGTGCAGTTTTTTATACAGAGTTTGAGATTTTTAGAACATAATGAATTTAAAATGTAGCAGGATTTTCAAAAGTATTAATATTGTAGAGATTATCTATAAAATGTGAATGGGTTTTTTTTTTCGTTTGACAAAATACTACAACGCTAGAACGTTACTACTCAGACAATACACTAAATAGCACCCCACTATTACAGTTTAATGAATTAGATAGGACAACTAACTGATATTTCAACTCCTATTCTGAAATATACATGTATTATGAATATGGGCGAACGGTAATTAGCTTTGAAAGGTATTCGATATTGATACTTATGAATACTACTCGTATGTTACTACAATACAATAATATTATATAAGGTACAACGGACTGGCGTCCTATGTAATGGAATTACAGTGAAAAACAAGAATCAAACTTTAAATGATCTGCGAGCTTTAAAACGTCAAAGCCAATACAAGCTTTGTGAATTGGAAGGATAGTTTTAAAAGTATCACAGTGTGGTGGAATCAGGCGCTTGTCCGTTTCTGCTTTTTTTTTTTCTTTTTTTTTTTTTTGGAGGTAGGAATCGCCAGATATTAGAGGTAAAATTGTTGGGGAATCGACGGTCGAAGTGACTTCCAAATCCTTAGAAAAAAATAATTTTATATTTGTTGTGTCTTTGATCAACTGATCAACAGTTTTCAGTGGACGTAATAGGTGTAGAGCCCAAAACAAAACAAAAAATATCAACAAAAATTGCCAAAGGGGAGGTATTTTGTTGTTGTTATTTCTTATACATTGTATTTCATTATTTTTGACGGCACCTGATTTCACCACGTTGTCTAAAAATTGTACTTAATCTTTATTTCTTCCAGTTCTCTATAAGAAACATTTTCCACCGCAGAAGTATTTGTTATGTTCAGACATTGACCTACGAACATGGATAACAATTTCACTTTTTGTCTCACAAAAATACTTATCTCTCTAGGTAATTGATAATAATATCACCAGTTACCACAGTTTGTGTCTGAAAATATGATATTGACGTGTCTTTTTGAATATGTAAGCAAGACAAATAATCTGGTTGAACTGAATACATAACACACGTTAATGCCGTCTCCTCAAGTTGTTAACCGTACGCCTGGGGTCATTTTGTACCACAGGGGTTGTATTCTTCACATTTTAGAATAGTTCTAGTGCGAAGATCTTTTTGATACTTTCCATTATTTCTCAAAGAATCATTTTGACAGACTGCTATGCAAAGAGTACGGTCGGATTAACGAGTAAATTTCCTCTTTGGAAAGTGCGGGCACAGAGTTTTCCAGGTCGTGTGGATACGAAAGTAAAACACGACGTACGAGCAGGGTTAATAAACATTGTAAATGTAGAGTTATTACTTACAAAGTACTTGTTGTCAAGGGACTGAAAACCTACAACCATGGACAGTGACAGGGACATAATTCGTCAAACAGATAAAAAATAGACAAGTCACTGCTTCTTCTCCCTTTATCAATAGGTCAAAATAATATTATTATGTATCATTGTAATGACAAACATTTATTGTCTTTTTTTCCCTAGTTGTCTTGGACTGACAATGTTTTTTTGTTTTTTTATTTCTTGCATGTGACGTCATGGTTGTTGTGTATGTTCCTATTTAATCAGAAGGTCCTCGTTATCCTACACAACATTTTAGACCAATTGTTTGTTGTGTGTTTTTTTCATTCTGCTTTTCAAAATTATTTTGTTTGTCCATAGTCTCGCCTTCATTTTCTCTTTTTTAAAAATTGGTGATTAACATTCATTTGTTGTTGTTATTGTTCTTTAACTTTGATTGGTTGGATGGATTTGCTACATACGGGTATCCTTTTCTGCGTGTGTTTTTTTTCTGCGGTTTTAATTTTTACCCTGATAGTGTTCTGCCTGTTTTACTTTAACCTGCTTGTCTTTGTGTAAGCATGACGTCATAATCCTTCCTCCGAAAGTGTATATGTACGTGTATAAGTGTGTGTGTATGTGGGGGGGATTGTTTGTATGCCCGTATGTGTGTGCCCGTGTGTGTGTGTGTTTGTGTGTGTGTGTGTGTGGCTGACTGTCTATCTGGTTTTTTGTGGTCAAGAGAAAGGGTGTGATTACAACAAATGCACGTTAGAATGTGTCATAACACACGTGTAAAGACGTTTGTGCACGAGAACATGTTCTGTACTCTCTGACTCATATGTGTCACGACGTAGTGGAATTATGCGCTCGTCCATTTTTGGGCATGTGGAGTTATTGGTATCATCTGAAAGCTGATTTATTTGCTTTCTTCCAATGAAATAAGTATCCATTTATTTTGAAGAGAAATCAGGATATTTGGGATTGAAAGAAGTGAGGTCGCCTGGCTTCAGTGGCGAAATTAGCAAGAAAATGGCGGCCAAAGTTTGGTAACTCCAATAGCCAAAAGATTCTTTGAAAACTGAAAAAATGACATACTTTTGCCTTTAATCAATGTTTTACATTAAAATTCATATGGAAATGCTTTTTTATATGGACATAAAAGAGGTTAAGCCAAAAAAAATAAAAATTGTATAAAAATGTCAAAACTGGACGAAAATGCCTGTTTCTCCGATTTCGTTATTCTGACGAGTGCCTGGTTTCACCAATCTGCCTCACATATTGTCTTGTTTGTGAAAGTCCAGAACGTATCTCTAGCTGTTGGCGGTACTACGGGAAGAGCCACTGCGGTTGAGGCGCCGGTCAGCAGGTGGCACAGGACACGGGTAGCTGCGGAAACTGACCACGTGATCATAAACGTCTGCGCCGTCTTCAGGATGCTCCTTCAGTTGGCGGGACACCTGGTACGTTTTGGAAAGAGAAAGGAAACGACGAAAGTATTAGGTGAACATTTAGTGCGAGTTTTTATTACTAAATGGGTTTTTGTTTTTTTTAAATATAATATCCATACTGTAGGGACAACGATGCAATGTACTGGAGAATTTGAAACGAGAAATCAGCCAGTCAACGTATACGCAAACGTTAATTAACCCATGACCAGATGGAGTAGAAATGTAAAACAAATAGCCCCGTTTCAATCTAGTAAACTCAATAACGGTAGGTTTATTTTGGTACAAAATTAGTTGATAGTGTATCTGAAAGGGGGGGGGGGGGCCACAGTATTTAAACTATCGGTCAAAAGTACATTTTGTGCAAACAGATAGCGCTTTGGGCAATGCCATTCATTGTAGGATATCTTTCACGACAAGTGGTTACTGGAATAAGTTTCACAAAGATGGACACTATAAATGAATGGTCAAAGTAGTGATTTTAAAACAGACTAAATAAAACTAAAGATTGACGCCTGTCGGTTATTTTGAACGACAGGTTACATTTACACTCAGATGTACTTGTGAATTTCTTTAAAATATAACATTTATACATAATATGTTCAGATTTTAACTGCTCCAAATTTCCATTGGCAATGTGTATAAGAAGATTCGTATTAACGGGCAGCTTTTTTTAGTTCTGCCATGTGTGTTTTGGCCCCTACCATACAATAGTAACGAACTAAATAGGTGTAGGCTTTGAATGTACAAGTCAACAGTCATTTGGCCTTTAAGGTATTCGAATTATTTTTAAGTATAGGTGTTTTTTCGTCCTCATCGACATTTTGGATCATTGACAAGACGGGCTTCCAACACTGCTTGTCAGGGCCATCCTGGGCTGTGAGGAACACAACATCCCAGCAGAAAGGTCGAGATACTCGATATAGTTTTCTCCCCACTCAGGAATCGACCCCAGGAAACCTGCGTCCCACAGCGAAGCACCTTATCGCTACACCACAAACGCAAGTATCTATTTGTAAAAAAGAACATAACATAGACCTACTTCTATAACGTAAAACTCCGAACTTATTTAAATCCGCTTTATATAAATACCAAGAGCAATAATTTGTTACGAACTTGTCAACAGTCATTCAAAAAGTGATGACAATTCGCTACCTACCTCAGAATTACAAAGTTCTATCTACTCAGTACCTAGTTTGAGAAATTTGACATTAAAGATTTTGAGTTTCACATCGTGCCAAGTTTTTTTTTCGAATGCAATTCTTTGAATATCTTGATAACAACTCCGAATAATCTGACGACTTAAGCAAAACAAATAGAACATAATTTGTTTGTTTTTGTTTTTAAATTTCCTTTTCTTAGTAATTCAAAACAGCCCAAAAAATGTCTGACAGACCTTTGTAAGTCTGAGGTAGCGAATTTCGACAAATAAATTACACTACTGTAATGTGCAATCAATACTCAACCTGGTTCAAATCCACAGTGTGGACTTGGTAGGGGCTTCCGTCTCGATGGCGGGCTCTCGATGCTTCTTTCGACATGGAAGACGTCACAACCCCTCCTCCGTTGGCATACCGATGTTGAATATTATTCCCATCTGTTGTGGACTGGAACCCCTGCGTTCCGGTGGGAAGATGGTTCGTGTAAGCTTTTGTCAGCGTCAGAATCGTCTTTTTATTCCTCGCTTCTGCATTGTTAGCATATCCATTAATATGTGTTGATTCATGAGGAGTATTTGCCATTGTTGTTAAGTGTTGTCCGTCTTGGTTAGCGACTAGGTCCTGGGTTCTCGAGTCGGGCGATGTGAGAGTGATATCTGGTTTCAACGATTCCGAGGTTTGAGTAATCATACCCGAAGTCTTTACTTGTTCCCCGTCATCAGTAATGTCATAGTCCTCTGGCGGTGTCTCGTAACCTTGATTTTTCACAGTTTTCTTTTTCTTAGAACTCTTCTTTTTGCCAGACTTCTTGTTTTTCGAAGACTTCCAACTTGGATCTTTTGTGTCGTAGATAAAAGCTGCGTTATCGTACTTGACGCTGGAGCTGTTCCGAGACAAAGCACTCTTTTTGCTGCCTTTTTTCTTCATCGGTGTCGAGTAGATCGTTCCATTCTCCACACCGCCCGAGCCTATAGCTGTGTCACTGTAATACCCGTCCTTGTCGAAAAAGAATGGCGCTCTCAGATCGGCCGATTTGCTTCTTCCGTCGAAACTGTGGTCGCGTCGTAAGTTAGATTTATTGATTTTCCTCTCTAGCGTGGACGGTCTGGAGTTGACACCGCCATCGTGCACGACATAGTGGACCTTGGACGCCATCTCCGAGTCGTAGGGATGAAGCACGGGGCGACGCTCCAGAGTTGACGCGCCTGACCCTGTGTTGCTTTGGTAACCAACAGCTCGTAGTTGGTGATCTCGGCGGCTAAGTACACTCTGGTTTTTCCGCAGGGTCGATGAATAGATGCTTGATATGTCTGAGATTGCCGATCGCTTGTCGAGGTCAATGTCGTTCATCACTGCTCTCTTGTACTCAAAAGCTGAGACTGAAGCAACGTCAGAGTAGAAGTTTTTTTCCTGCATTAAAAAAAGTTTTAAGAGCATGAAAACCAACAAAACAATAATATAATTACTATAATGTTCATTTGTCTTAGATTACAATAGATTATCGAGACAAAGGATAATATTTAACAATACATAGACTGAGGTGAAACTTGAAATCATAACACGCCTTTTTGTTTTAACATTATAATTTGGAGTCCATATTACTGATAGTTCGACTATTCAGGAGAGGAATTCACGACTATCTTGAAAATAGAATTTTCAGAAGCTCAACTGTTTACAATCAGCAAATCATGTTAGGAGGAAAGCTTTGTGATCTAATGTTGTTGTAATTGAAGAAGTTGTTAAGCCCACCGACATTTTTAGATCATTTAAAAGGCGGGTTGCTTCAAACCAGCCTACAACAGTCAACCCAGGCGATAGGAACAAACAGAAAGATGGAGCTTCCTAACAAAAATTTTCCCCGCTCGGGAATTGAAGTGAAGTCTCCTGCATGCGGGGACGAAGTGCCTAACAGCTTGCTTTACCACAGGTCCCGGTTTTTGCAAATCTTCGAGAAATATTGAAATGTAACTGAATACAACTATTTTTTAAGCATTGTCAAGTAGGTGGTATCATATCAGTAAGTATTATTTAATTTAGTATGAAAAGAGAGGGACAACAAAGGGATAAGTACAGACCAACAAACATGTCGCAGAAAATTAGGGATAGCTGAAAACAATGCTTCTGATTCACTTCTATCCATCTTTTTCACACTTCAATTACAAGAATTGCTTTTTATTGAAACTGTAATGTCAACGAGAAGGTTAGCTAATTGAAAAGAAATAATTGAAAAACTTCAAGAACATTTTTATAAATTTAAGGTTCTAAAAACATGTAGACCAAGTGTCAAGTAAGAGTTTTGCCTTTGAAAATGTGTCCGAAATATAGACCAAAATTTCGTAACATTCTTGGATACTTACAGTGTCAACTTTAATCAGATGTCTGCTCATCAGTACCATTCACTAACTCCTCTCCCTTGGACAGCCACCATTGCATTCATAAGCGGTACTCACCGTCTTCTCTCGAACCTGTGCACATGCATTGCAACTCATGCTTCTGCAAGACTTTGGACACCGATGTAAGGGTATGCTTGCGCTGCAAGTGTAACAGTAAACCTCGCCGGACGGAAATTTAGATCGTTATTGTTATCACAGATACCGCCAGCCGAACTCTGTCAAATACCCCTTCCCCAAACAAAAAAAGTAAATAAATTAGAAACAAAAGTTAATTGAAATAAATTAAAATAAAAAAATTTTTAAATAACTAAATAAAATAAAAATAGAATAAAAATAGACTAGAATATAAAAGAATAATTTTAAAAATACATTATTTAAAAAGGAAATGAAAAAATATAAATCCTCCCGCTGAGTTAATGGCCTTGTTTGATTTTCTTATTTTGTTCGGTTAGTGATTTTATTGGCTTATTTTGATAATTTCAGTTCCCGTCCGACACAGTTACCCGTCAATTTCTCAGTTTGGCGTCATGTCAACAGCGAGTTCTCCATGCTACAGAGAGATGTGAGGAAGCCATGCAGGACAGAGAAAGCTTAAGATAATATATGACTTGACAATCATGCCCAGGTACATATAAACACGTGTCTTTGAGAGCTATAAATGAGACGTGTCAAGATGCAGGCATGTTTAATACTTACATAACTTTGTACTCTATTTAAAGAATAGCAAAATTATGAAGTTTAACTCCATACATCAATGAATGGATGAATGAATGAATGAATGGATGAATGAATGAATGAATGAGAGAGAGAGAGAGAGAGAGAGGGGGGGGTGGGTGGGTGTAGAATAAGGAAAAAGAATAGTGAGATTGTGTGTGTAACACACACACACACACACACACACACACACACACACACACACACACACACACACACACACACACACACAAACTCACACACACGCACACGCATACAGGCACACATACACACAAACATAATGAAATACTAAGTTACTCAAATGTATGATAAAAATCATTTACTCAAATTAAAACAGTGTTCTGAACTTTATTCAATCAAACTTCAAAGACGTATTTAGAGAAGTGGAATAAAAAGTTGCAGATATGTCAGTGAACTATTTTGTCATGCCTTCCCTGTCAAAATACAATCTATTCTACAATGCCATGATGCTATACGTTTGCGTTTACTCTCGTTTTACAGGCTGCCGTCTAGAACGGCCATTTTTGGGTTTTTTAAAAATCTTCATAACTTAAAGAAATAACTTTCTACAAACCCCAATTTGAAAGGTAAAAGCAAACTTTAGCCCTACGATCTGGGTTTACTTGACCTACACAGCATATCCGGGGACTCCATTCTCTGTGGGACAACATTTGGGGTCAAAGGATTGCCCGAAAAAAGCTTTTAATTTATTCTATGAATTGTGTGGGGTCTGCGGTCGAAATTTATTTATGAACTGTAACACACAACTACATGTGTATCTGACTTCCTGCTCATTTAACAGTTCATTTACCAGGGGAAGAACACATTTTTTAAAATCTCTTAAACAGCGATGACATACACGTTTTTTTAAAAATAGCCACTTCAGAGAGTAAAATTTGTACTCGTATAATGTCGTTTTTCCCTGTAAAAGTAGATTTAGACGTGTGAAATAGAAATAATTTACAATTCTAGAAAAATGCTCATGTTAAAAGTACATTGTAATTAAAAAATCATAATTGGGAAGTATTGATTGCTTCCCAGATTGTCAAAATACAAAACATATTCTACTGGCGACTGATTGTCAAAACCACGCGTTATTGTGCTCATTGATTAATTAATTTTTCAAAGTGACGAAATAAGAAACAAGAAGAAATAATTATGTGACCCAGAATAGTACGGGGACCGCCTTTTTAAATGTTCGTTTCGTCAAATATTGAGTTCAGTCAAAGATCTTTATACCATATTGACCACAGCTCTTATTTGAGATAGGATACAAAAAATCCTTTAAAATTTGTGTGCGTGTGTCTTGTATGTCATCTTTGCTTGAGGTCAAACTTGGAAACGATGTCTTAAGCAGCCAATTATATTACAATAAATACATAATTGAAACACATCACTCCGTTATTATACAAGACAAATGCTAGCAGCCACACGGATACAATAATAATAATATATTAAGCTCATGCAAACAGCCCAACACAGATGACGCATATCACTGCATCAGCATTCACAAGCCATGGAAGAAGAATACAGAACATCAGTTTTCCAGCTGAATCCATATTGCAACAGCCAGACAGCATTGTCCGAAAAGCGATAGACGAAGCCAATAGTTTGTCAAAACAAATAAATAATATTGTTCAAGCTGCGTTGTGAACAGTCCCTGGACTTGCCTTCTCATTTATTTAAGACTGCGCTATGTCAGTCAAACGCTTTCCTTTAATGAATGTTTGTTGTTCGCCCGATCTCTCAAAGCTGCTGCTCTAGATCTAACTATATTAATCTATCATACTAATTTTATACTACGATGAAAAAAGGGCGGTTCGTAACATAATTAAAATTCTGGAATTTTCTTGAGATTTTAGAACAGTGCTATTTCAGTTTAATGACCAAAAAATCCCGAACATTTAAATTCTTAAATGGTTCCTTCGGCGATTTGGGAACTATCTATACCCCCCCCCCCTCCCCTACCTTTCCCCTTTTTTCTCTCAGCTAAAAAAGTTTGAAAAAATCTTGAAAATCGCCAAACATCTACGCCCCTGTGTTTGTCTAATCTCACTCATGCAATCAATGGCAACAGAATGTATGGCGCTTTCCAGATACCCGTTCTCTGCGGATCTTTTGCTGCCTTCTGTAAAAGTAGATGCCGAGGATGATGGCAACGATGCACACGACGACAACCACACCGATGATGATGCCGACGATCGTGCCCTGGCGCAGAAGACAGATGTCCGACTCGTCCCCACAGTTGTCGTAGCCGTTGCAATAGAGCTCAGACGCTATACAGTGGGAGTTGTCGCACTGAAAGTCTCCGCCCGTGCATGGCGCTGGGAGGACAGATCACTTGTATTACCACGAGGTGGATTCAGGTATTCGTTCATTTTTAGATATGGTCGCTTTTAAGGGCAAGCAGGCTAACCCAGATTTCGGGGGTTTCCAGAAATCTTGACCTACACCAAAAGTGGGCATTGCCTTACCTAAAGGAGAAGTTTGGTTTCCTTGCTGAGTATATTGTTTTAGTTATAGAGAAAACTCTCCTTGTCCAAAAACATTTCCTTCGATTTTCTCAAAGCTGCATTTTTCGGGACAGACCCCTTGGGATTAAAAGCGACCATATATGGAGCGGAATCAAGCGCTCCTCAATTTTTGAACATAAAGAGTTATATTGGTGTAATTTTAGAACCTGTTTATTTGCCATGCTTGTGATAAAAAAGTATCCGTTTATCTTAAATAGAAATCGAGATATTTGCGATTGAAGGTAGCTTGGAGTCAGAGGTAAAGTAAACGAGAAAATAAACGCCAAAAATTATTGTGCCTCTCAAGGATGTGGTTTGTTGCCAGGTTTGTTTACACTGTAGGCCTACATGAGCGATCCGATCGCCAAATTAACAACTATAGCATTAAGTTGGTTAAATTTGCGAACGATTCGAACATAATTGGGCTCATTCAAGCTGACGAAACTGCTCATCTCAATGTTATGCAATATCAGAATATCAATGGGTTACTATCAGAATAGTGAATACGTATCTAGCTTTTCACTATGCTAAATATGATTGTTTATTTATATCATTCATGTGACTGTAAGTCTATTTGTGAGTATGAGCTTACTATTGTATTATTATAGTTATGTACACGCACTTGTGTCGTGAAGAAGATCTATGAGAGAGTGTGTGTGTATGGGTGTGGGCACGCCCTTGCGTATGCGTGTATGTCCGTGTGTGTACGCTAGTGTATGTGTGAATGTGTCTATGTGTGTGTGTGTTTGTGGGTTTTAGTGTGTGTATGTGTAAGCATGTGTGTGTGTGTGTGTGTGTGTGTGTGTGTGTGTGTGTGTGTGTGTGTGTGAGTGAGTGAGTGAATGTGTGTGTGCGTGCGTGCGTGTGCGTGGTAAAACACCAAACCAATGTCCCAGGATCTTATATGTATCAAGGCTCTGTATTGTTTGTGTGTCTGCGTGAGTGTGTGAGTGTGTACGTGTGTGTGTGTGTTTGTGTATGTATGGGTATGTGTGTGCGCACATGTGTGTGTTCATTTAAGTGTGTGTGTGTGTGTGTGTGTGTGTGTGTGTGTGTGTGTGTATGAGTCTGCTTGTGTGTGTGCGTGTGTATTTGTGAATGTGTGGGTATGTGTGTGTGTATGTGTTTTTTCGTTTCAGTGTGTGTGTGTGTGTGTGTGTGTGAGTGTGTGTGTGCGTGTGTGTGTGTGTGTGTGTGTGCGTGTTTGCGTACGTGAGTGTGTTCGTGTATGTGTGAGTTCGTGTAAGTGTGTGAGTGTGCGTGTTTGTGAACATTTTTGAATGTGTTTGTGTGTGTGTGTGTGTGTGTGTGTGTGTGTGTGTGTGTGTGTGTGTGTGTGTGTGTGTGTGTGTGTGTGTGTGTGAATGTATGTGTGTTTGTGTCTGAGTGTGTACTAGATACTCGAAAAGGACTGACATTTATACTAAATAGTAATAATTTAGACAGTATTTAGATAGATGATAACAAAGAAAAAACCCAAATTTTACTCACAAAAAGTGAAGGCTGTGAAAATCAGCTCTATCTGGTCAGCCAGGTAACGGTCTTTGTAGAGCCATACAGCAGCCTCGTCGGAGGTAGTCACGAAAGCACGGTCAGGTACTCTGTTACTGTTGCACAGTTTGTCTGATCAAAAGGGAAGAAAAAGCATGTTTACTGGAACACATTATGTTATTTTTTATGTTGTTGCACCTGATGCTGTTGTTATCTGGTTTTACTTGCTCTGAGACTTTCGCTGAAACAGGGACTCTGGTACGTCTTCCCAAATTTAAATGTGTATAATTTGGGTACCCCCCCCCCCTCCCATACACACACACACACACAAACGATTACATCCCCCCCCCCCCCAACCGTGTATTATCCTCTTTATTTTTTCCGCTTCTTGCCGCCTTTTAAAAATACTTCTTTCGTCGTTAATATTTCTATTTTTCTCCTTTGATTCTGGTAGAATTCACACTAGAATTTTGAGTATTCTAAAACCTCTTTTGGACGATCTGCTACTGAACCTAACTCTACAAATCTTGACATGAAAACAAACAAACAGAACTATTAGACTGACTTGTTGGTAGACTAATTCTTAGAAATATTTGTGTTAAGCAGATTCAAGAAAACATTCGACAACCAGAATTATTTCCAGTAATATACCCAAATTGCTATTGCTATCATATTGAGCCCGCGAATATATACATTCCACGCCACAAAATTCGTGTAATTGAGAGGAAAAGTTCAAGTCTGAGGTTTGATAAACAACGAATGCAAAACGGAGGCCCGGCGGTGGCATCTCTTCGGGGAGGATTCAGGGAGGTTGGACTGCCTCACCCGCTACCCAAGGGAGGCGGTGGCCCTGGCGAAGAGCACACTCTTCGGGGCTCCGAACATTTCGAACGGATAGGCTACCACACACACACACACACGAATGCAAAACGTTCTAATGTCTCAGTGAATGAAAACTAACTGTTTGGGCTACATAAGTGACCCAAGTATTGGGCTTTTATTATGCTTATCTTAGAAGTACCTATTTCAACATGTTCACGGTAGATTAAAAATGGCATGTTATTGTTTTAACTCCAATCGACCTCCGCCCCCCCCCCCCCCCGCCCCCATATCAAGTCTACATGGCTATTTAAGAGGTTGTATTTCTAAATCTAACCCACATCTCCGGTAGATCTGAGCCAAGGGTGTGTGTGTGTGTGTGTAGGGGGGGGGGTAGTGGAAACTTCCAAAATAATCCACATGCCAGAACACCCCCTTTTGGGATTCGATCCAAAATCATTAGCATCATTCTTCAATAAAATTACAAAAAGAGATAGCGATGCACCGTTCTAAAAGAGACATCTTGTGAACAAAGATGAAGTTTGGTTTTTTTTTTAGTTTAGAGACAGACGCAGGTTCTGAAAGAATTAAAATAACACAATAGGAAAAGGACGAAAAAACCCATATGATCCTAGCATGATATTCTAAAAAGAAGTACTCTGTGGGAAGCTCAGCAATCCTGGCAGATTGAATACCTTAAGATAAACCCGGCTTAAAGCGGACGAGGAGTTATAACTTAAGTCCGTCACTGAAGGCCCTAGTTCCGGAATCAAGGAAACAAGTAAATAATACATTGTGAGATTAATAACAATCAACGACTATATTATGTATGCTCTCGTTCAATTAAAAGATGAGCAAAGATCGTCCTTCATGCAACCTTTAATCTATAGAATTGATTACAAACATAAGCACACTCGGACACTCACACACACACATACACACAAACACACACACACACACACACACACACACACACACACACACACACAAACAAACACACACACGCTCACAAACATCACATACCAGAAATTGAAATTTGCAGCCGGGAGTCATCGAAAATCTGCAAATGGTTGTTGTTGCAGCCTTGGGGAGACTTGACGTCAAAAGCGCGAAACTTGAACGTCAGTCGCTTGTTGGAGGGTGCTTTTATGAACACGTAGCAATTGAGGAATTTGAGTCTGTCTTCTGGGCGCCGGAGCAAGAGACGTCCGCTGTGTACCTTAGCACGCCCCAGGTCTATCGTCTGGGTGCAGAGGTCGTCGAGGTAGTCTGGGGAGTTGATTGTGAAGTGATTGTAAATATTATACGTCTCAGACACGGGATTCTTCAACCATGTCTGTCAGGGTCAATCGGATCCGAGTTTCAAACAACATTCGAGCTGACAGCCTGAGATACTCGACCAAGAAAATAAAAAAAAAATTAAAATTTTAAAAGATGACATGAAATCTTCAAGAACTTCCTCGAGCTGAAATCGAACTCAGGTCCTCTGTGTGCAACGGTAAAGAGGCGAACCGATACGACACAGACGTCAGTCATCTGAGAAGATGGTGATCTAAGATAAGGTTTCATTTAGTGTGCAGCGACAGTAATCACGTTTCTGTATGGGACAATTATGAAGACAAAAAGTGGAATAAGTGAACGATCTTTAAAAAGAATAATACTGTGATACAGATTTTTATTAGTTTATTTCTTTTTTTTTTTGTCCCGTGTCCTGATTATGGTACCGATATTTAAGGTTAAGTAAACATGTATTGACATGAATTTATTTCTTTTCATTCATGCTTATAATATTTGAACTACTGGTGGTAGCTTTTATGTACTACTTATTTCTTTGTTATTCAGGTCTATTCATTCTTCTTTTTTGTTTCTATATTTTATTTGACTTTGTTGGGGGTTTTTAGGCTGATTTTATTTTTTGTTTGGGTTGGGGGGAGGGGGAAATAATACTAACTTTTAATATTTTAGTTTGCATAGGACTAAAACTGTATTTGGTAAAGTATACCATTTCATTATAAAGACAAATTTTCAGATTCGTAAATAAACGTTTCAGTAAAATTTTACTTAAAGTTGAGATAGTGAAATAGCCAACCATTATATCCAAAAACTAGATAATTCCTCAAACTAAACTAAAACAGCAAGAGTAGAGCGCTCCACTGGGGGTTCGAACTCGCATATTTTTTGTCTGACAGCGAAGTACCAAACCATTGGACCACAGACGCGGTCCGTGTTAGAAGATGAATAGCACTCGTACAGATAGAAGTGGACATCAGTACTGTAATTGCTCAAGATCGTTCACGACAATGGATAAAACGACGCTATAATAATCTAATTGGGTAAATTATGACTCAGTAACCCAATCCGTAAGTCATGTTTTACTGTCGTATCCATACGACATGGGGACTCTGTGTCACCATTTTCCAAAAAGGAAATTTACTCGTTAATCCGACCCGTACGCTTTGCATAGCAGTGTGTCAAAATAATTTTTTGAGAAATACTGAAAGTTTCAAAGAGATCTTCGCACTAGAAGTATTCTAAAATGTGAAAAATATAACCCCGGGCGTACAAAATGATCCCAGCGCGTACAGATAGGGTTAAACGTTCACAAAAAGCTGCTTTTAATTTGCTTTTACTGTTCAAAAGCTGAAAAACATGTTTATTTCATTTGTCCTTTTGCCAGACTTGATTTTCTGGTAACCCTTTCTGGTTGTTTCCTTTTAAAATCAAGGTATTTTGTTAGTTTAAATCCACAAAATCCTCAAGAAGCCAACAATTACAAGACTTTTCATTTATTTATGTATTTATTTGTTGATGACTTTTGGTGTAGTCGACACGTTTTTATAAAGTATGTTATTTATTTACGAAAGTATTTCATGCATTTATCTATTGATCCGTCTGCTCAACCTTGAAGTTCAAATCCCATCTTTTTAACTTTGGTCAACAAGTTAGTTATTCGGTATTAAATCAAGATATACAATATATTAATTACTGTAGAGTAGTCCATAATTGCAGTGTCCATTTGTTGTATGGGTTCTCTTCGTTGTGAGAGACTGTGGAGTTTATGTTGCTTCAAGGAAATCTTTACATGACATGTCGCTTTCTTCAAAGTGATATGTGCAACTACTAAGATTACCTTTAAAAGTCTTGTAACATTATACATTTAATTTTGTGCTTGTACTCGTAGTTAGTCTTACTGAATTGTGCATGCATAGGTCTGGAAATTGCATATATAAAAATAGACGGTAATTAACTAAATAAACAATTAAGTACAATTATGTAAGTGGTGGCTTGGAAAAATAAAGGAGTAAACACACATTTTTGCGTTGAACTACGAGTAAAAGAAAATGAAAGTAAATTTCGGGTCGTGGATGCAAAAACAAGATTAGAGAAAATTCGTAATCAATACTTTACCTTTCAAAATGTGAGTTTTTCTTTGAAAACTATTATTCAACATGTTCATTTGGAAACGTATATAACTCCTTCCGTGACCCCCCCCCCCCCTTTCCATCACCCAAAATCTCTCTCTCTCTCTCTCTCTCTCTCTCTCTTTCTCTCTCTCTCTCTCTCTCTCTCTCTCTCTCTCTCTCTCTCTCTCTCTCTCCCTGTTACCAATTTTCATACAGGATGCTCTCTCATTAACCCGTCCACCTTCTTGCTAAAAGTATACTATAGTGCGGTCAAAAATTCGTGGCGCGACTTATTTTCAAAAATCTCCTCAGCTATCGAACATAGGTTCTCCAATTTTTGTACAGTGACTTGTATCAATTTGTCTAAACAGATCAACATTTTTGTAAACACCTGCAAGCTGTATTCTAGAAAATTCCTTAATAAATACTAATTTAAAAAATCCAAGTGTGTGGTTTCTGTAGATTTTTAAATGTTTACAGCTGGGGCAATATAGCTTTAAATAGCTAGTCCGTCTGGTTTTTCTAATCGGAACATTATGCTTATTGAACGCATGTTCTGAGAGCCATTAGTGCAAAAATGTGTTCACTATGACAGTTATTTCTTGTAACAAGTTTTGTAAGTAAAAAGTGTCATTGATGAGCTGTGACGTAGGCCATATGCATAATCAAAATGTGTGTGAGAGGCGGGAAGTGCTGTGAACTATACCATTTTACGCGTGACAGAGATTTCAAGTATTTTATATAAATTTATGAGGAAAAGTTGTTCAATCTAACCCCAATTGTTGTAGAAAAATATGATTTAGTTAAGAAAAATTGATACAAACTGCAATGCAAAGTATGGATGACATTGATTCATTCGTTAAAGAGTTATTTGAGGATAAGTTGCATCACGAATTTTTGACCGCACTAAAATATTTAACTTCATTGTACGAGAGCATACTCTTAAAACGGAAAAATAATAGATCGGGGTAAAGAAAACTTAGAAGAATGTGATCACTACACCTTTGGCACGTATTTTATATACTTTCCACGTCAACAAAAAGACTAGGTAAATTTCTTTTCTTGTGGGTTTTGTCGCCGCTATTAGAAATTGCTCTTCGGTCAGTTCTTTTAAACATTTTCTTTTCTTCCAAATCCAGTATTCTTTGAATTTTATACTAACGTAAGATATATACATAAATTGGGCTTTCTTACAATGGGACCTAACAATACTTGTAAATGCTTTAATTTTATTAATTTGCAATCATAGTGTAGGCTTTCTAATAAACTACTTTTAAATATTTTGTAATAATTAATTTTTTGTGGCATTCATGCATCAATATGTTTCCGCTGTTCTTCTATTCTAATGCGTTTTTTAAAACAGGCTACCATTTTGGATCTCGAGAAGGTACGTTATACCTCTCTAGTGGGCCTTGCTTAGAGAGCTAATGGTCAAGTTGCAGGCTGCAAGTGTGTCTAACTAGCAGAAATTCCATTTGAAGAAAAAAAAACCCCACGAGCAATCAAAAGTAGTGGGGCTTATTTAAAGTGTAATATGTGTCTGTAAACGATGTATGAGCCTTTTATAGTATACACACGATGACTAAGGAATGTAGTAGCTTAGATACTTTATCAAATTGTATCTTTTTTGCACTTACTCAAGACAATAATAAACAATAAGCCCTACATTAATTGTGGTGTAACATGAATAAGAACGTTTGCCATTTATTTATGAAATCTTGTCTAAGAACAAGGGCAAGCGAGGCAGGGGTAGGCCCAGAACAACATATTTAGGGAACCTAAACAAATGGGTAACAGGGAAAAATCAGGGAAACATAGCTTTTCTGAGAGCATCCGAGCAAAGGAATGAATGGAAAATCATGATCGCCGATGTCTGTCGCAGATCTGGCACTGGATGATGATGATGATGATGATGATGATGATGATGATGATGTCTAAGAAAAGAAACGTGTATTTTCTCATAGTTCCGATAATAGCAACCAAATTTAATTCATTGATGAAGTTGGGAAAAGCACGTTAAAACAGCATGGATGGCTGGTGTCTCTATAATTAAATTATTGATAGTCAAGTTAGAAAAAATAATAATAAATTCACATGCAGGAAAAAGAGGCTGAAATAGCAGGTAGACATGGATGGCTGGTGCCTCAACAAATACATTAAATAATTATTGATGGTCAGGTTCAGGTTGTTTAAGACTGAAAAAGAAAACATTTTAAGGATAAAAAGGGAAAAGGGGGGAGGGTATTTGAAAATCCCGGAACTGAAATACGATAGTATCGAACACACAAGTTGATGATGCACTCACAAGTTGGAACACTGGCCGTGGCGTAATGGACGAAGCTGAGCAAGCAGCACACGGTCAGTGCCAGCCGACTGCCAGTTGACAGAATAAAATGCACGCATCGTGAAGACGCCATTGAACAGAGAAAATGGCGGTCCTAGAATTTCGGATCAGAAAGTTCCTTGAAAAGCCAGATGCGAACAACGAAAATCAAAAATGTCCGATGTCGATCACTTGCTGCTCCTATTTGATAAATCCATCTTTACGGCTTATTGCTCTTAATAAACACTTGTAGATTTCAGCAAGGTCATTCCACAGGGTACAAAATATCCAGCCACAGTTTCCATTTTGCCTTTGTATACTTCACTTTTCCGCTGAACGCGCACTAATGTCGTCTACCGAATTTATATCTGTTCAGGAAAGCTAATCTGAAATCTCCAGATATTTATAAAAGTTTTCTCTTTATCAACTTAAACTTCTCATTTAAACTCGTGGAGCTCAGCACATCACAGCATCTTCATAGAGTCCAATCAAAAGCAGAATAGTTATTGATGCGTTCGTCTCGGAAAGATTACATTAAAAACCAATGTTCGTGTAGTGATTGCGATACCTAAATCACTGGCTAAATACATGCAGTTCCTCCAGAGTCAAGACGAGGGAGAGCCACAAGTCAAAAGACGCAGTGGGAGGGTCGACACGCACAGCAGGAAAACAAGGTGTGATGGGAAAACTTTACGAGCGAACAAGCGATCATGGCTCCCGGTGACGACTTGAGCATCCAGGCGTCATTGGCGACTCCCTGACAACGGCGGGAAGGGGGGAGGTAACGCACGTTCTTATGGAGGGGGGGGGGGAATGTCTTCTTTTTTGTTGTTGTACTCTTTTAAGTGAAGAGGGAGGGGCGTGAGATATTAGTTTCCTCCTTCGATCACCTTCTCTCTCTCTCTCTCTCTCTCTCTCTCTCTCTCTCTCTCTCTCTCTCTCTCTCTCTCTCTCTCTCTCTCCTCTCTCTTTCTCTGTCACTCTCTCTCTCTCTGTTACTCTCTCACCCTCGCTTTCTTTCTCTCTCTCTCTCCATCTCTCTCTATCTCTCTCTCTCTCTATCTCTCTCTCTCTCTCTCTCCCTCTCTCTCTCTCTCGCTCGCTCGCTTTCTCTTTCTTTCTCGCCTTCTCTCTCTCCATTTCTCGTCCCCTCTCTGCGGGTGTCTCGAGGGCGCTGATTAATTATCTAAATACTCTCGGTCTCAGCGAGTGAAATACATTAAGAATGACATTGCTTGTTTCTATTTATTGTGGAATAACTTTACACAGGTGAAATAGTCTTTAAACCTTTTCATCACCAGGCTTCATCTCGGTACCATTACTAGCCCATACCTCGTCTTTTTCTTCTTTTTTTAGTGTCCGTTTCTCTTTCTAAACACCGGCCTACTTAGACGCAGAACACCCGAGTCCAATTCCTTCGTGGGATATTTCTTTTAAAAAATCCACTATCCCTGTTCTGTCAGAAAGAATATTGTATCTCATTTTGCCACGGTTGGCCCCGACAGGCAGGGTCGATGATGCCCGCCTCTTTGATGAACTAAATCGTGTCCATGGGAACGTTAAACGTTTACAATTATCACACCACTAATCAAGTCACCTTTACGAATACATACACCCCACTCACCTCTTTCTCAATTCATACGCTTCCCTGCACCACGCGACCGCCAGGTCACAGGTTTGACCCACCGACTGACTGATTGGTAGCTCAGTCACCCATCCATCAGCTGACGACAGAACCCTTTCCCTTCAACATCAAGAATTTGAAAATCAGCGGAGAAAACCCTCCGATGATGGAGACCCTCCCTCGCTCTAATAGACACTTCAACTCAGCCGACCCCGCAAATAGTCATGTCACAACATCATCTCTACGTGTTCAATGAAATCCCAAACATATAAGTATTAATCTTTTTCTAATTTTCATGACAGATATGCAATGCTTGACGCCTGGGTCCCTGCACCTGCCTCGTGAGAATGACACTATGACACCTGGGGCTTTTAGAGGTTTTAAAGGCGTGGTGGGTTATAGCCCCTCTTGCTCATTGCTTGTAAAATATAACTTCACAGTCATGTAGAAGGATAAATAGACAGAGCGAGGAGGAAAGAAGGAGAGGGAGAGAAAGCGTAAAGAGATGTATAGAAATATAATATTATTACTCCG